AAAAAAAAAATCACTGACTATAAAAAGGCAGCTTTATTAAAAAAGGGTAGCACATTAGTTTCACTAAGAGTTTTTACCTGTTCTCCTTTTCCTTTAGGTACAACTCTTTTATCGTCCATATCACACTTGTTTCCTAGTAACATTCGTTCCACATCTTCATTGGCATGCTAAAATGGAATAAAATTTTAGTTTCATACACTATCATGAATTATAGCTAGGTCTCTATAAAGTTTTGAAGCTGTCACCCCGAAGTCACCAATTCTAAAATCAACCACAATTCCTAAAATTGTGTTGTCAAATATTGTCAAATATTATTTACCCCCTCAAGAGACTATCTAGTTTCTAGGTACGGTCTCATCAAAAGAGATGAAATAAGCAAAAGATGTAAAACAGGAATTTCTTTATGTAATTTAAATTCAGGTTGGATCATGATTTTTATGTGTTACCATATAAATGGCTTAACTGAAAATTCCAGCAAGTCCTTCAAAATCTACCTTTGATCACACAGGAAGATCTCTTACAGAAAAATCAATTAAAACAAATGTTTGCTCTATCAAACATTTACTATTAAACAAATAGAAAAATTCATCCCTGATATTCATAGAAAATCTAAAGCACAAAAAAGTAAAGGTGCCTTTGTCAGAAAAGACAAAACAAAGCTGTAAGATTCAGTCATGATCTGATTTCAAACCTAACATAAAACTACAGTAATCAAAACAGTATGTTAGTGGCATAAAGACAGACAAATAGAATAGAGAACCCAGAAATAAATTCTTACATACAGAGTCAAACAAATGGCTGGGAAAATGAGCATCAGGTATCCACTTGTAAAAGAATGAAACTGGACTCTTACTCAAAATACATGAAAGACCCAAATAAAATCTAAAACTATGAAATTCTCAGAATACACAGGGCAAAATAGCTTTATGACACTAAATTTGAAAATGGTTCAAATTTTTATTTTGATGTCCAGTTCAGTTTAAATGAATTATTTTAAGATTTATTTATTTATACATGTAAAGACTGGGGTTTAGACCAGAGGTACAAAGGAGGAGGATGGTAAGAGGATTCACCAGACAGAGCTGGGAGCAAAATAGGCAGATCTACTGAAATACACTTGAAAGGAGCAGTGGGAGGGATAGAGGCAGTCGGCTGCACCATGTGGGTCAGCTCCCTGGCCAGGATTAGAACTCACAACTGTACTGGCTGCCAGAGTGATCTTGATGATGCTGAGACTTTAACCACTGTGCTACAGACGGCACCCTACCTGAACTTTTAACTCAGCTAATTTTTAAAGGAAATTAAACAGTAAACAAATTAGACTCGTTAAAATAGATCAGTGTCAAAACTTAATGATATTACAGTCAAAATAAAACTCACTCAAAATAAAACTCACTTCCCAAGTCTTTTTCAGAGGCTGAAAATAGTGTCTTGATTAACAGTATATAAATGTCAAAGTAAGTTATACAAAATTTAAAATGTTTATGCCAAAGGAAACTATTGTGTTCACTTTGGCAACACATACATTAAAATCCAAACAATCAGAAGGAGATTAGCATGACCCCTGTGCGGATGAAGTGCAACTTTGTGAAGAATTTTGTATTTTGAGATTATGCTAAAGCAAAATATAACAGAAAGGCAAACACCAGATGATTTTGCTTTAACAGTGAAACAAACCTCAGAAATCTGACAGAACTGTGGCTACAAGAAGGGAAGTTTGGGAGCCGGGAGTAAAGGGGAATGGGTGCCTAATGGGGTTAGAGCTGAGGGGAGTGGGTATGTTGGTGGTAGGTGTGGTATGCAATCTACACTGGAAGAGGTAAGAATCTGTAACCATGCATCATATACAGTGCTGTAAATCATGTCACTTCAATAAAAATTACAATAAAAAAAGACATTTAAAAAGGTCATTATCACAAGAATGAACCACGGAATGGGAAAATATCCACACTATCATGTAGCACTGATCTCACTTACTTTCCCTGAATGTCCTCTTCTATCTCTCCCACTGCTCCTTTCAAGTGTATTTCAGTAGATCTGCCTATTTTGCTCCCAGCTCTGTCTGGTGAATCCTCTCACCATGGACATGATATGTGATTTGTCTAAAACTTAAAATCCATCCATCACAGTCCTTCCACCAGGCCCATCCTTATCTGGATTATTTCTACTCAATTCTGATTAAACTGTGATTTCTCTTGTCTTCCAGATTATGTTAGGAAATTTTTTTGTTTGCATAGTAATAAAGCTTTGATACTTCTCAATCCTTAAGACAAGATAGGGGATGATTTACTTGCTTCATGCCCTAAGTGTCCACCGTAGAGTAGGAGCTTCCTACATACTGGAGGACTGATGGAAGACAGCCATGACCCAAGCTTTATAGAACCACAGCTTCAGGCAACAGTACAAGATCGTGTGGTTCTATATTTTCAGGTGATTTTTTTTTCTGTTATTTTATAATTCACATAGTCTAAACAGAATGGAGGTAAGCGCTTTCCCTATGCCTTCTTCACACTCACAAACACATGTTGGACAGGTATGTGGAATACAAAAAAATAATACTATAGAATCTTTCAATTCATGATCACGGAATGTGTTTCCAGTTACCTAGATCTTCTTGAATTTATTTCAAAAATATTTTAATGGTTTTCAGTGCATAAAACTTTGTGTCTCTTTGGTAAATTTTTCTTTCAGATGCTATTTAAACAGTACTATGTTCTTCACTTCATCTATACTTTGGTAACATACAGAAACACAACTGATTTTGTACTACATGTTTTCCTGCAATCTTACTTTGTTTATAAAGTTTTATTTTTTGGTGTTTATGTGTATGGACTCCGTAGTACTTACTGCAGAAGTAACTACTTTCCAGTCTGAGTGTCCCCCTACTTTGCCGAATTGCCCTAGCCAGAATATGGATACTTATCAGCCTAGAGAATTTTCATAGCTGTCCTTTGTTAGGCTAATGGTTTCTATTCCTAGTTTGTTGAGTGTCTTTATCATTGAAGGTGTAAGACATGTGAGATTTTGTATGTTTTGTCTTTTATTAACACAGTGTACTACACATTGATTTCCTATGCTGAATCACCCTTGCATTTCTAAGTTCCTCTTGCTCACGACATATAATCCTTTCAAAAGTGTCTTCTGATCAATTCAGATTGTCACTTAATAGAAGTTTAAAAGTTTAAATTTCTATAAGAGAGTGAAAATAAGGCAAAGTCAGTCTCTCACATGTCACAAAACCAGGTATACTTTTTAATGGCTGGTTCATACTGGGAATCTCAAGTCATCCAGCCTAACAAATTAAGTGGATATGCCTGAGGTATAATTCAAACAGAAACAATACCCAGGTATGTGGTTCCTTCCCCACCCATTGGTAGCAGAGTTTCCCCCTGAGTAATAGGAATATCCTGTTATTCTCAAGATACCTCTTTCTAACTACACCAGTTTATGCTAATAAGTGACTCAAGGCAGGGTCAGCATAGAGCTCTTCACACTGGCACTAGTCACCAGAGTAAACAAATACATGACTTGGGGGTGGAAATTTTCAGCCCATAAGAGAGAGGAGCTGAAGATTAAGCACAATCACCAGAAATCAACTAACTATGCCTATGTAACAAAATCTTGGTGAAAACCCCAAAACAATGAAGCTAGGGGAGCTTCCAAACGTGACCACAAGATTCTGGGAGGATGGCATATCTAGATATGTTGGGAGCACTGTCCTCAATCACCACCAGTCCCCTCCCTCATACCCTACCTATTCATTTTTCTCTTGCAGCTGATCCTGAACTGTATCCTTGATAACAAAAGTCTAAGTACAGTACTTTCCTGAATTCTGTGTACTACTACTACTAGCAATATAACCTCAAAAGGTGTCATGGGAGCCCACGCACTCGTAGCCACATTGAACAGGTACAGGTGGCCTGTGAACCCAAGACTTGCATTTTGTAGCAAGAACCTCCTGACTTTAAACCCATGAATCTGATGCAAAGGCCAGGAGGGTTAGTGTCAGAACAGGAATGAATTGTAGGACACAACTGATTTCATCAATATGGAGAACTGGCTTTTTGCTGGAACAACATTTCATGGCGCCATGGTATCTGTATCCATTCCTCTTATTACACATACTACATAGCTAAAGTATAAAATAAAGGATAAAGGAATACAAAATGGAATTTTTGTTTCAAACTCTGTGGACTGTTAAGTAACCACAGGCTTCTCCTTAAAGATCTGTTGTGGCAATGGAGAAGTCAGCGGTGAGTTTTTAGAACTGCTAACACTGGGTCTAATATTAGCTTAAGACTTGGTCTTCATGTACCCAGCCAAAACTTACTCTAAAGAGTTAGTGTTAATTAAATTCAGTCTTGGAGGCAGTAATAAGATATGGCAAAATACTCAATAATAAAGAAGATGTACTACTCTCCTAAATATCTGATGGAATGTTCTTACCAATCAAGTATACAACTGTATTTAGGAAGGATTTACACAATTTTCAGATCTTACCTCATCTATGTTTCTCAGCCATTTGCTGATGTTTTCAAAACTTTTACCATTGGTGATGTCATATACTAGCATAATACCCATTGCACCTCTGTAGTAGGAGGTTGTGATGGTATGAAACCGCTCCTGGCCTGCTGTATCCCTGAAATAAACAACCAATAATTTGTAGTAAGCATTCTCATATCACTATAGTCTAGATAAAGAGCAAAACAATATAATCTGATATATACAGAAATTAAAATCTGCTCTATGCCATAAAGCAAAGAACTACCACTCATTTTTTAAAAGATAAGCAGCTATGGTTATTCATAAATAATCTTGTAATTAAAAGAAATGACCTATCACACTGGATGAAAAACTGGAAGGGCAAACAGCAGTAAGTAACACATAAAACACCTGAATTTATTTAAAAATGAACACCATAAGTGATAAAAATTCTTGGAATTATATTTTATTTGATGATGTGGTACGAAAAAATGTGGCATTTTCAGAACATTAAAGGATGATAACATAGAATGGCCACATTTGCCTGTAAGTTGTGAAGATAAACTCATTTATAAATAACAAAATATGGAAGTGGTGGGGTTGTTTTTTTATTATTATTACTTAAAAAGCCTTCAAAGTTAAAGATTTAAGAAAAATATTTGGTCTTATTACTCAATCTCATTTGCCTCACCAATTTCTTTTTACGGATCATTCCTATCAGCACACATACATATTTTAGTATTACCCAGCTTTTCTAAAAAAGCAAAATGGAAACAGAAACCCCAATAACAACCCTGTTGAAACCAACACTGTATTTCTCTGTTCCTCTTCCCAGCAAACTTTCCCACTTTTATTTTAAAATAATTACAGCTTCACTGGGAGTTACAAAGTATAAGGAAGTAGCCTTTGTACCCTTCACCCAGTTTTCCCCAAAGGTATCATTTTACATTATAGTATAAAAGCAAAAACAGGAAATTAACATGTTTTTAAAAATATTTATTTTATGCATACAACTGCTGGGGTGTAGGCCAGAGTTGGCCAGGGGTTATGGGGTGAGAGGGAGTGGGGAGCAGAATGGCAGACTGACATACACTGGTGAGGGGAGCAGCAGAAGAGACAGAAGAGAGGTCTGCTGCACCTTGTGGGTTAGCTGCCTGGCCAGGGATTGAACTTGTGCTGCAGTGGCTTCATAGTGCTAAGACTTAACCCCTTGCACTACCAGGGAGGCCCAAAATATTTTAACATTATATAGCCTTATTTAAAGTTCATTTTTTTTCAACGTGCTTATTTGTTGTGTATGTGCGCGCAGTTTTCTGTAATTTTGTCACATACCTATATGTGTGTGATATCTAAATATGACTATCACACCAATAAGACTGCTGCATCATCTTTCCATCCCTACAGTCCCTAAATAATCTGATTCACATTTCCATAATTTTGTCATTTCTAAAACGTCCTATAATGGAATAATGCAATATATAATCTTAGAAAATGTTTTTTACCCTTTTTAGCATAGTTAATGCCCCTCAGATTCATCCCAACTTTTGCATGAAATAAAATGTCTCATTTTATTGCTGAGTAACATTCCAAAGGTTGGATCACAATATGTTTAATCACTCATGGAAGGAAATCTGGGTTGCTTCCAGTTTGGGGCTATGACAAACGATGTTACTATGAATGTATATACAAGTTTCTGTGTGGACCTAAGTTTTCATTCAGTTCTCTGTGATGAATACAAAGGAATGTTACTGTTGGGCCATATGATAAATACGTCTTTAACTTTGTTAAAAACTGCCAAACTCTTGAGTAGTTGTACCACTTTACATTCCCACCAGCAATTTATGAGACCCCCCAGTGTCTGTGTGTCTTCAGCACTTGGTGTTGTCATTTGTTATTTTAGTCGTTCTAAAAGAGCAAGTAGTATCTTTGTTATTTTATTCTACATGTCTGTTGCTAATTATGAACTTTTATAACATTCTCTTGACAGTATCCTTTGTAAAACATATTTTTAATTTTGTTGAAACTCCATTTACTGCTTTTCTAATCTTTTAAGGACTGTGATTTTATCTTGTGTAAAAACTATTAACCCACCTAAAGTTTTCAAAGATATTTTCCTGTTTTGTTGTAAAGTACCATGGTTTTACATTTTATATTTAAATTGATGACACATTTTGAGTTAAGTTCAGTGCAAGGTATAAATTTTAAGTATAAGTTCATATTTCTGCGTATGTGTAAGCATCTCTTCTCTAGCACCACTTGTTGAAAATGTGGAGGAAAACAGTCTTTCTAAAATGAATGAACTTCTTTTGAACCTTTGTCAAGCAGCCCAGGTATGGTTCAATCTATTTCTGGATTTTTAATTCTAGCCTAATGACCTATGTGTTGTTTACCCCCAATACAATACAGCCTTGATGAGTGAAAACTAAGTCTTAAAACCTCTGAGGTAGGCTCATTCTTTTTGCTTAAAATTTTTTGGTCAGAGTTGTTTTAGCTATCCCAGTCTTTCTATATAATTTTTGGGATAAACTTGTCTACCACAATAAAAATTCTCCGTAACAAGTTTCCTTAAAGTTATTTCTAGGTTCTCTCTTCCTGCATTCATTTCTCAACCAATTCTAATCTATTACTGCTATTCTAACAAAATGCTCTTCTTCAAAAGTTTCCAAAACATAATCGTTAAGCCCAAAGGTTAATTCCTTCTTTTATCCTTATCATCCAGCAGAATTCTACAGTTGGCTGCTTTCTCTTCTTGCACAATTTTATTCTCATGACTTTTCAGATACACGTTTCTGTTCTTCATTCCCTATCACTTGGCTGCTCAATTTCATTATCTTTTACAAGCCTTCAAACACTTAGCTATACAAGCAGCCATTCTCTATAGAGTAGTCAAAGTGAGCTTCTTTCAGTATCTTTTTCCTGTTTTAAACTTCCAGTAGCTTCAATGGGGGACTATGCCTTCTGACAAATGATGCCATCACAAGTGAATAACCCCATGCAAAAGAATGAAACTGAACACCTACCTCATACCATATAAAGAAAATTAATTCAAATTGGGTCTAAGACCCATTGTAATGGGCTATAAATGTAAGGGCTATAAATTGAAAGCTCTTAGGAAAAAAACAGCACATCTTTGAATGATTTCAGATCTGGCACCAGCTTCTTAAATCACCAAAAGCACAATTAAAGAAAAGGTCTAGATGAATATATGAAAAATTTGAAACACGGATGCTTTCATGGACACTATCAAGAAAATGAAAAGATAACCCACAGAATAGAATCTTTGCAAAACATGCACGTAAGGACTTGTATATGTAGAATATATAAAGAACTTTTATAACTTAAGAATAAAAGATAAATGACACAATGTTTATACAGGCAAAAAACCTTTGTGTATTTGTCAAAAAGATACCCAAATGGCCAATAACACAGGAGCAGATACTCAGTATCACTGTTATTAGGAAATTGGGTATCAAAACTAAGTGATACACTAATTAATATACATTATAATGGCTATAGTAAAAAAACCAAAAAGGTCAAACATATGTAAGTGTATGATACAGCAATTATTTCCACTTTTATGTAACTAAGAGAAGTGAAAACATTTCTCCACACAAGCATGTATATATGAATTGTCATTAAAATTTCATTCATAGTTAAAAAGAAACAACCAAAATGCCCATTAACACAATGGATAAATAAAACAGCATGTGTGTAAATGGAATACTATTCAGCTACAAAAAGGAACAGTACTAAGACATGCTACAGTGTAGGTAAAACTTGATTACCTTTGTTAAGTAAAAGAAACTAGACAAAAAAAGATCCCATTTATTCATTCTATACATTTGTACTAAGGAAATACTATATGCCACACACTATTCTAGAACAAAAGTTCCTTCTGGAGAACCAAGCACATGACTAGAGGGTTGGAAGTGCCATTCCAACCTCTGAACTCTAGGAAAGGGAGAGTACCTGGAGATTGAGCTCAAGTGCCAATGACCAGAGACTTAATCAAGTGACTAGGTGATGAAGCCTCCCTAAAAGCTAAACAGGGATCCTCAACAGCTTCCAGATAAAGATGGAGATGTGGGGGGAAAGGCATGGAAATGGCATGAAAGCTCTGCACCTGTTCCCCATACCTTGAACTACGTTTTTCTTCCATCTCACTGTTTCTAATTACTTGTTTGTAATAAGTTGCTTATCCAGTGAGTAAACTGCTTTCCTGAGTTCTGTGGGCCACTCTAACCAACCTACACGCAGTTCATCAAAAGCAGAGGTAACAGCTTCTGAAGTGGAGGAGGATAATCACTGAGAGACTGAGCTCTCAAATCGTGAAATTGGACACTATTTCTGGGTAGTGTCAGAATTACGCTGAATTCTCAGACACTGTTAGTGCGTCTTAAGAATGGCTTTTGGTGTGCGGAAGCCATTGGAATTGGGTATGGGAACCCCAGACAAATAACCAGTATAAAAGAAAGGTAACCACCATAACTGCCATATATGTTCAGAGTACGCTTTTGTTTTGATCCATGGTATACTTTTTTTTTTCTAAAGCTTTCTACATTGCATTTTCATTTGCATGTTTAAACATGACTGCATCTACCCCGCAGGACTATCTTTGTAAGTACCACATACTAAAGGGCTGCGCCACTAGAGCTCCTCCACAAGATGATCTGAGTCCTTGATCTCAACTGTATCCCTTTCTTAGATCCTGTATGGACCTCTATTATTCCAGCCCCTATAAACTGTTAAGGTAATTCAAACCAGAACAGAGTCCTTCCCTCACCTCTAGGTTAACTGGTGACACTCTGCCCAAAACTAAAAATAGCCACAATTTAAAAATGCGTATATATAGCCAAAGTTTAGCTTATTCATTTAAGCTTGCACATACATATATCCAAGACAACAGGCTGACTCAAATAAGTAAAAGTCAGTGTTAAATATCTGAACAGCAATTAAACACAGTCTATATTCTGCAAAATCTTTATATAATTCAAGTACACGATTTTTTTTAAAGATTTATTTATTCGTACAGAACTGGGGTACAGGCCAGAGATGCTTGAGGGTGAGAGTATTCACCAGGGACAGAGTGGGGAGCAGAACAGGCAGATCAACAAAGTACACTGCTGAGGGGAGCAGCAGGCGGGTCAGGAGAGGTCT